GAGCCCATGGTGAAGGAGGTGAGCGTGATCATCCCCTCGACGTCCAAGGGCAGCCCCGACAAGGACTCCGAAAGAGAGAAGGCCCAGTCGATATCAAGGCGGTGCTCGGCCTCATCTCTCATCGGGGACGCGAGTGTGGCCAAGAGACTGAGCCTCCCGAGGGTGATAGGATCTCCCGTCTCGACAGGGGAGTGCCTGCAGGTGACGCTGGCGCCGAGGATGAACTCCGCGCAGCCGCTCCTGCCGCAGGACGACCTCAGAGCCTATGCATATGAGGGGGACGGTTCGCCCTCCGGCTCTCTAACCTCTACTGTTTTAGGTCAGTGTAATCTTTTTATTTTGTTATATTTGTCTATCAATTTGTTTATTTAAATTTCTAGGAAAACATTATATCCTATTCTCTGATACTGGTGATTACTTCCGCTATAGTACATTACCTGAAGGAAAGATCTATCATGAACTATATATATCATCTTTATACCTAATATCTACACGATCATTTTCTCCCGTTCCACCAGGTCTCCGCGCGGAATCCCTCGAGGACGAAAACGTGAGACCCCTTCTGCCGGAGTACGGGGAGGTGTTCGATCTCTTAAGAAACCTCCCAGACGCCGTGGTTTCCTCGAGCCACGCGAAAGGCCAGACAAACAAAGCGAGTAAAGAAGAAGTGGCTAAAAACGGCACCAGCAGTTCCCACAAACAAATACATTCCCCCAAATCTCCAGTGGTGAAAATAAGCTCGGGAACGCTCAAGGCAACAAGCGCGGGGAAAGAAAGTGTACAGGACGAAGCTGAGGCGGAGGTTCTGCCGAGAACACAAAGCTTAACGACCTCCAGCTTAAAGCGTAGTTCGACCAGTGGCCAAGGTCGACCTTCTAAGACTCAGACTCAGACTCAGACGTTGAGAAAAAAGTCGCTAGAACATTCAAGCGTGTGTTGATTTCTTTTCCTTTTCTTCGTCTTTACTTCCTAATTCCTTCGTTGTTTCTTCGTTTCAATTACTTGTTTCCTGTAAAACTTTGTGATTACTTCAAGAATCTTTAAGCTGCTGGAGACTGTGATACTTTACTTTGGTTTAAGTAATGAGATTATTAGTGTTTTATATGGAGAAAACACACGTATGGATATGTGGACATTTATGCGCATGTGAGTATGTGTGTGTGTGTGTGTGTGTATATGTGTCTATGTATATACATATACACATATATATATATACATATGTATATATATATATATATATATATATAT